AAAAAAAAAAAAAAAAAAAAAAAAAAAAAAAAAAAAAAAAAAAAAAAAAAAAAAAAAAAAAAAAAAAAAAAAAAAAAAAAAAAAAAAAAAAAAAAAAAAAAAAAAAAAAAAAAAAAAAAAAAAAAAAAAAAAAAAAAAAAAAAAAAAAAAAAAAAAAAAAAAAAAAAAAAAAAAAAAAAAAAAAAAAAAAAAAAAAAAAAAAAAAAAAAAAAAAAAAAAAAAAAAAAAAAAAAAAAAAAAAAAAAAAAAAAAAAAAAAAAAAAAAAAAAAAAAAAAAAAAAAAAAAAAAAAAAAAAAAAAAAAAAAAAAAAAAAAAAAAAAAAAAAAAAAAAAAAAAAAAAAAAAAAAAAAAAAAAAAAAAAAAAAAAAAAAAAAAAAAAAAAAAAAAAAAAAAAAAAAAAAAAAAAAAAAAAAAAAAAAAAAAAAAAAAAAAAAAAAAAAAAAAAAAAAAAAAAAAAAAAAAAAAAAAAAAAAAAAAAAAAAAAAAAAAAAAAAAAAAAAAAAAAAAAAAAAAAAAAAAAAAAAAAAAAAAAAAAAAAAAAAAAAAAAAAAAAAAAAAAAAAAAAAAAAAAAAAAAAAAAAAAAAAAAAAAAAAAAAAAAAAAAAAAAAAAAAAAAAAAAAAAAAAAAAAAAAAAAAAAAAAAAAAAAAAAAAAAAAAAAAAAAAAAAAAAAAAAAAAAAAAAAAAAAAAAAAAAAAAAAAAAAAAAAAAAAAAAAAAAAAAAAAAAAAAAAAAAAAAAAAAAAAAAAAAAAAAAAAAAAAAAAAAAAAAAAAAAAAAAAAAAAAAAAAAAAAAAAAAAAAAAAAAAAAAAAAAAAAAAAAAAAAAAAAAAAAAAAAAAAAAAAAAAAAAAAAAAAAAAAAAAAAAAAAAAAAAAAAAAAAAAAAAAAAAAAAAAAAAAAAAAAAAAAAAAAAAAAAAAAAAAAAAAAAAAAAAAAAAAAAAAAAAAAAAAAAAAAAAAAAAAAAAAAAAAAAAAAAAAAAAAAAAAAAAAAAAAAAAAAAAAAAAAAAAAAAAAAAAAAAAAAAAAAAAAAAAAAAAAAAAAAAAAAAAAAAAAAAAAAAAAAAAAAAAAAAAAAAAAAAAAAAAAAAAAAAAAAAAAAAAAAAAAAAAAAAAAAAAAAAAAAAAAAAAAAAAAAAAAAAAAAAAAAAAAAAAAAAAAAAAAAAAAAAAAAAAAAAAAAAAAAAAAAAAAAAAAAAAAAAAAAAAAAAAAAAAAAAAAAAAAAAAAAAAAAAAAAAAAAAAAAAAAAAAAAAAAAAAAAAAAAAAAAAAAAAAAAAAAAAAAAAAAAAAAAAAAAAAAAAAAAAAAAAAAAAAAAAAAAAAAAAAAAAAAAAAAAAAAAAAAAAAAAAAAAAAAAAAAAAAAAAAAAAAAAAAAAAAAAAAAAAAAAAAAAAAAAAAAAAAAAAAAAAAAAAAAAAAAAAAAAAAAAAAAAAAAAAAAAAAAAAAAAAAAAAAAAAAAAAAAAAAAAAAAAAAAAAAAAAAAAAAAAAAAAAAAAAAAAAAAAAAAAAAAAAAAAAAAAAAAAAAAAAAAAAAAAAAAAAAAAAAAAAAAAAAAAAAAAAAAAAAAAAAAAAAAAAAAAAAAAAAAAAAAAAAAAAAAAAAAAAAAAAAAAAAAAAAAAAAAAAAAAAAAAAAAAAAAAAAAAAAAAAAAAAAAAAAAAAAAAAAAAAAAAAAAAAAAAAAAAAAAAAAAAAAAAAAAAAAAAAAAAAAAAAAAAAAAAAAAAAAAAAAAAAAAAAAAAAAAAAAAAAAAAAAAAAAAAAAAAAAAAAAAAAAAAAAAAAAAAAAAAAAAAAAAAAAAAAAAAAAAAAAAAAAAAAAAAAAAAAAAAAAAAAAAAAAAAAAAAAAAAAAAAAAAAAAAAAGAAATTCGCTTCGATCCATTAAGAGAAAAGGAAAAGAATGATAAAGATTGCATTTGTTTTTATTTTTTTTTTTTACTAATTTCTTTCTTACTTCGAACCTGGATAAATTTTGTACGATGCGACGAATTAGAAGCGAATTTTTATATATAAATCATAAAAATTAACCAAAAAATTATAAAGATAATTAAGTTATAATTACGCATATCTAATATTTAAAAAATGTCTGTATTGATTTCATTACTTTTCTTTATAAGAATCTGATAATGTTACAATAAACTTCTCTATTTTTTTGTTACAATTCTGGAAAAAGTTTTTGATAAATCGATAAAACAGTAACCGTAGAGAATGACAATGAAGTTATTTTTATCAAAATATCAATTTATCATCAGAGAAAAATACAAAAAAAATGATAAAAATAAAATAATTTCGATTAAGTCACCGCACGAAGAAACGTCCCTTTCAACTTAAAAAAAAATTAACTTTTACTTTAAAATAATCACAAAAAAACACTCGAAAGTTATAGATTACTCTTCTTAAAACATATAAAAATATTTTTTACATTCATAAAAGTTAAATATACTTTAACATCCTTCGTAATAATAATAATACTAATAATAAAAGTAATGATAGTGAGTCTGTATATTTTCTTACTAAACTTACGACGAAAGTAGGTGATAAAAGAGGAAAGACTTATCAAAATTCCTGTTTTAAAGTTGTAAGGAAGTGCTACAACAATAATATCCATCAGACAAAAATCTTTTGAACATACTCTGAGTAATCAGAAAGGAAATCTGAGATTACATATAAGACATCTCTTATGTTATCTGATCTCCTTTGTCGCCGCAATAAATTGTAAATATAAAACTGTCTGAGATTAAAACAAACTTTGGATATTGGAAAAATATCATAAAGAAATATATATTGTATTTATATATATATTTTTTAAATATTTTTCTATAATAAAAATAGATATATAAACTATAAAAAGTCTTCTTTAATATAATTCCGTATATAACGCGCACATGTACTAAAAATTAATATAAAAACGTCTTTAATTTATATGCATTATGCTTTAAAAATTTAAACAAATTATTATAATTATAAATTAATTTATTTAAATAAATACATATAATATAAATAATAACTGTTTATAATAGTTTATTTTAATCAATAGAGCTTTAATCTTAATTAGTAAAATTATTCAATTAAACAATGTGAACGTATCTCATTTAACGTTTTAATTAAGCTTAATTCGTGTTAATTAAATAAAATAACGTATTAATTTTTATGTAGGAAAGTAGTTTTATGTTCTATTTTTTTAATATTGATTTTTGTTATTGATCATATAACACTTAGAAGCGTGTTACAGTAGCACATTCGAAACACTTGTCTTTATCTATAGAGTCAAATATGTGCATTTTCAGCAATATTTTTATATATATATCGCTATCAAAAGAAGCAATATCACTCAAGAGTTATGTTCTTATGATAAAATAAGTGTTTCTTCCATCAAACTTAAAAGATACGGCCGAATTTTTAATTGAAATCTGTTGTTATCGGCAATAAATTCTCGTGTAAGTATGGTTTAATGAATTATTATTCCATTTTAAAAAAAAATTCTACTGATGTAGATAAAATATGGCAATAATTGCCCACCCAAAAAAAATTACACCAGACTAAAGGAGACGATTTGGGAAAGACAATGAAGATTCAAATTTTTGGCACGAGTCCAAAACCCGCCCATTCACGTAAGGTATTGTTGCGTAAAACGAGGTTGAGCGCCCTCGTATGGTTATGAGGTGACTAACCTTTTCAGTTCGACACCGATGAGGTCAAAGGTTCATTTTCGTAAAGGAAAAATATAATTTCTATCGAAAATTACCTGAATAATAATTCTTTTTTTTTATATATATATAGAAAAAGTAACCAAAAGAAGAATGAAGAGACAATCTTCTCGCATCCATCTTTGGCCTAATGGGGAGGAACAAAAGCGTGACGGTTCGGTTGTCAACGGGATAGAGTCTGTCAGTGTACAACATCTGGATTATGTTTTGGGGGGGAAGGGACAGCTGACGAAACCGGCCAGATGCGTTCACTTCTTACGTATACATCATTAAATTCAGCTTTGGTTACTCAAAATAAATTGTAACACGTGAATCATCAAACAGAAAAGTGTAAAATAATTATTTCTTTATTAACACTCTTAAAAAAATAGGGAGAAAATTAATTCAGTTAAGGGATTTTTCCTATTTGTTAAAAAAATATATTAAAAGTGAGAGAAACTTTTCACTTTTCTCTTCCCTTTTCAACACGGAAGACAAGCAAACAGCGATAAATCACGTCCGGTTACTTACGTCATTGGACCAAAACTGTTGTGGCACGAACAATAAAAAATAAAAAAAACAATAAAAATTATACTTCAGAAGTTAATTTAGTATCAAAAACATAAAATATTTGAGTAGCCAAAGATTGCAGCGCCACAGCACTGGCGAAAATTTAAATTTGCCGACTGGAATTCTTTTGGATAATGGATGCTCTACTGTATATGAATAAATCATTCATTGTGATTTACCGACTTTCCCCCCTCTCTTCTCTTGAATGCAGCCCTTACATAGATAAAAGGTTGCCCATCCCTGCTTTAAATAATGATTTAACATTACTTTTGATTTTGTATGACGAATAACAAATTAATTGAAAAATGCTATTTTAGCAGTTACAATATTCGTAGAGCAAAAAATACTGGATTTTGAATACATTGCTAACAAATGAAGGCAATTTTCTAAACATGTACTGATGGACAATCCAGACAAAAAAATTCTTGAAATGAATAAATATAACAAGACCCTGTTTTATATTTTGTTTGTCAAAAATATTATGCTGTAGATTTTAAAACTCAAAGGGTACATATTGCCAATAAGATTTGGTACAGTGGTGTATACATAGAAAACAGTAACTAATTCCTTCATACTTTTAATTATCTACACATGGAATTTTTCATCATACAAATTATTATTACTAATAGAACAAGTTTGTATTTATTGCATTAAATAAATTATGCTAATGAATTATGTTGACAAATTCTATTACCCTCCTCTTGTGTTTTAAAATCTAAACACTAATTTTTCATTGTCATTGCAGGTGCAGTTATGGAAGAACTAGCTCATAAATTATTGGGAGTGAAGAAGTGTTTGCTGAAAATAAACCACGAAAAAAATTTAGGAAACAAATTTAATTGTTATGTAAATTATGAACCTTCCTTCACATAAAAATTAAACTTCAACATTTGTATAACGGGAGAAAATATGCTTTCACTTAATAAATCTTTAAATTAAAATAATGACGTTCTTTCTACAGAATTACAACTAAAAATGTTTGTTACTTCATAAAGCTCGAGCTTTACTTCTCTTCTACGGCTGCTGTAGATAAACTTCGTCTGTAACTGCAAATGAAATAGATTATTCATAAAATGAAAATACATATTTTTATTTTGCAGAAATCTAAATAAAACATTTGCAATATTTACACAAAAATTGTTTGTTATAAAATAGTTGTTACTTTTTCTTCAATCGATTTGTCTCAAATTTCTACTGAATTCAAATCTGAAAGTAACACTAACAAAACTGGCATCCCAAGGTTCCTCGATCACTGACAATGTATAATGACATATGTTCAATACTATTATTAGTGTGTAGTGTTGTTCCCAAGGATAAATATACATGTGTAAATTTTTACTAATGTTACTGAAAATACTCTCTTTAAGATTTTATTTTAATTAATAACTTGTAGTCAAATACAAGTGTGTGCAATTAAATCCATATTAATTAAATTTTGAAGTTGGGTGATATAAAATTGGAGTTTTGGAGGAAAGAGTTTTATATAAATGTTTTACACACAACTAAAACACATCCAATTTTTCCTGTAAAAATCTACAGCATTGTGATGATATTAATTGTCCAAGTGATTACATATGTTTGATGTTTACAGATATATTTTATTTATCTAAACCAAGATAATCCACAATTATAAAGTATAAACAATAATATAGTGGATAAAATATTTAAGTTATGAAGGATAAATTTTAGAAAATTAACCTTAAAAAACTCCAGGACAAACATACAATTTAATTGCTTTATCATCAAACATTCCATAGAATAGAAGAAATGATATCCCAAAAAAATTGAGATACCTCCACGGTTTGTCCTTTTTCACACAGTTCAGGAACACTGAAATAAAGATTCACTCTGCCAAGTGACAAAGTTCTCTTCTGCCTCAATATGTATAACTTGTTAAAATCAACACAGAAAAGAATAACAAAATAAAGATCTACTCTGCCAGGTGACTGTCTTCCTGAGGCAAGAAAGAAATAAAAAAAAAACAAAAGAGCATTTCCATAATTTTTTTTTGTTCTTTCATAATACAGAATAATGAAACAAAGATGTGATTGCAAAAAATACAAGGGGGAGGGGGGACCCAAAAGAATGAATTCTCCTGGATGGTGGGCTCCTAGAACACAATTCCTGCACCAGGAGTGTGTTCAATGAATCCCTTTTGCATCAGTTTACCAGATAGCATTGTTGTATGAGGATAAGTTTTGCAGATGTTTTCACACATTTTCCTATCTGTTTCTTTAATGTGGAATGGATTATGCATTTGGAATTTGTTTCTCAGGGTCAAACAACCAGAATTTTTATCTAAATGTTTTGAGAATGTTGCATCAAGATTTGTGGAATGCATGTCTCAAGTCATGGCAAACAGATGCAAAATTTTCTACCATGACAATGCTCTTGCCCATGCTGCAATGTTTGACAGTTTTTGGTCAAGAATAATATGAACCTGTGCTTCACCCAATCCTGCCCTGTGCAACTTTTATTTGTTTCCTCAGACAAACTCTTTAAAGGTTTCCTTTTTTTCAATATGGAAGAGTGAAACAAAAACGGCATCAAAATTTATGAAGCCAAAAACTGTTTCGAGGAGCAGCAAAATACGTCTTAGTAGGTGCATTACTTAAGCACTTCTTGGACTTATCTGTTCTAGACATAATATAAAGCAATATTAATTGCTTTTGAAGTTATCTAAACCTATTCCAAAATTCTAATCGCTGATTCAAAAAAGATGCACGACAGCAGGTTTCCTCTGAATTATTCCCAGATAGCTTCAACAACCTGTGTAGATGGTAAGAAAGTAGACAGTCTCAAATCTATTCCAAAGCAGAGAGCAACAGGAAATTTACAAACCAGCCTTAAGAAAAAAGTGATTAACTGCAGACACCAATTGGTTATTGTATACACAGTGCAATACAAAATGGTTAAGAATTTTTAAATTAGAACTCAACAAGAACTCCATTTTAAAATATAGAGGAAAAGGTGGTATTATGGAACCTCCCCATTTCAAACTGATAATAAAGGCAAACTGTAGCAGATTGTGGCTGAACTGAACTAGGCAGACATCCATAGCAAGGGAAAAAACCATTTTACTTCAGTTAAACAGTTGTCCGTATTTAATCAGCAAATTTGTATTTTTCAAAATTCGGAAGTTTTGAATGCTAAGTAAATTTAATTATTTTTAAAATATAAATCGTGTAGTTGTAGGTTCACTGGTGCATGTATTCCGTTCCAGAGACTTAGGGGTACATATCACGTTTTTTAAATTTTGGTCTTGACAGACATAAGTTAATTCAAGATGGCAATGCGTGAAATACAAACCCATTGGTGCTTTTACATTAATATGGAACTCAACTCCTCCAAACTCTCTCTTTGCAAGCAGACATTCGTCCGAAGCAATTTGTGAAAAAGACACTAGGTAGAAAGTCAATTCTTCCTGAGAATATTGAAAAAGAGCTGCTGGAATATATATTGTTGATGGAGGTCATATTTTTCTATTATAAAAGCATTTTTGTGATAAAATACATCGGAGTAAATAATTTTGTAATTATTTAACATATTTTGTACTTTCCTATTTGTTTTTGGCTACATTAAAGCATTTTTTGAAAATATATATTAAGGTTCCATATTACCACCTGATTTTCTCTAAGCCTACTTTCTGACTTTTTGTATCTTCTGCCTTCAAAAACCATACTTATAGTTACACTAGCAAAAAATCCAATTAGGAACATTTAGTTTAATAGTTACCAGTACTTTTCGCACAAAAAATGTGGGTGTAGTTATGATACCTTGTTTACAATTCACTAAAATGTAATTGGGGTTCCATAATGCCACCTTCTCTATATTGAAGCGCAATAGGGATTTAAACTTGTTTTGTTAATTAGTCTTGTGTTTATTGTATTTCCCACAAATGTCATTACATTACCTGTAAAATCATAGTTTGAACTGTGTTCCAAATTGATGTGGACTTATATTTTTGCCCTAAAAACAAACATTTCATGCTGTCGTAAGGTGGCACTTTCTACCAATTTTGGATGACAAATGCACTATAAGCTGTTAGCTTCAGTTTTGTTCCATATTTGCCATGGAATTAATCATTGCAATCCAGAAATAGGGTCAAAGTACCAAATCAAACTTGATTTATGGTCGGATTTATAGAATTATACAGAGAATACTTGATTGGTTATCCAAAGGGTTCCTTTTAGTTAAACAGAATCATAAAAACTAAGAGGAATGTTTAATTTTCAATTGATCGAGCATTTTTCATTCAAAAAGAACACTCTAAATACAGGCTTTTGCATCAAGAATCCAAAAACATTAAAAAGATATTTGAGAAGATTCTGAAATACATTTAACACATTATATCATCTTCAGAAGTAAATATTACAAGAAGCTAATTCGTCAAAACAAATTGCGATATATGCTTGCATATTTGCAATTGTTTAACTCTATTTTCTCTATTAAATTAATAATAATAAATAACTCACTTGAATATTCTGTATAATTGGTATAATCCAGTCAGAGCAACAAAGACATTTACACTAAACAAACTCCAATTCTTAGGAATAATGACCATTGAATATCTCGACCAGATTATTCCTACGGAAAGAGATGATGTCAAGTAATTCAATTACATATTTTTTGTTATCTGTATTCAGGTATAATTATTATATAATATAAACAATGTTCTGATCATTAAAGTGTTTGTTAATTTACAACTACAGTTATAATAATAAAATTAATTAAAAACTAGAATTATAAAGTTATAATGCTTACATTTTGCACAAACTTGAACAGTATGATTAAAATTTTTAATATCTATAAGTACAGTGTGTCTAAAATGTTACCATGCAGTAGGAAAGGTTTGGATAAAGTTTTGATAAAAGCAAAATTTTACATACAATATTACAGTTTCTCCCGCAGCAGATGCCGAGAACAAAGTCAAGGGCCTACTAGTTTGGGAAGTTTCTGCAATACTGCCCATTTTGTGAAATTTGACAATCAAACTTCACGCGGTGTTATAGCAAGGCACTCATACATCTGGAAACTGCTGGGAGAATCTTTGTTGCGATATATCTCCAATTCAATACAGAACACATTCCACCGGGAATATTTGTTGCTCGATCATCAATGCCATTATCACTCGGCCAATACGGACCTGCACTCTCATTAAAATGTGGATGGGCATTTCAGAATATCTGAACAAACAGCAATGCCGTCTACCGCAAAGTGAAAACACGGAATATGCAACAATTGGGTGTTGTATATAATATCCTCACAGTAACTTTTTAGACACCCTTTATTTTACTTTTCCAACTGTTATAATATAAGAGGGAAAATATGGCAATCAGTCAAAAAATGACCCCCCCAGACTTTTACATTTTAACTTTGGGAACTTAAAATGCCAAAAAACTTGAGGGTTTTTCTGTATTTACGGATATGAGTGAGTGAGTGAGTGAGTGAGTGCGTGTTTAGAGAGGCATGATTTCTCATATGATAAAAAATTAAAAAATAAATAAATTGCCTGACAATAAATGAATATAAGCCTCAAGCTTAAAATACTTTTCATAAATACAATTTTAAACTACTTTACTGAAATATAAGCCATACTGAAATATGGTAGAACCAGTGGTGATATTCAGCGGGTTCGCACAGGTTCAGCCGAACCCGTTCTTAACATTTTCAAAGTTTTCCGAACCCGTTGTTTAAACACATGTAACATTTCTCAGTGATTTTGTTTCTTTTAAAAAATATATTAAAATATACGTATTATACTCTGTAACACTACTAAACTAGAGCCTTATACCCCGTTCGCCTTGGTGCAACCTCCATCGACCGTTTCAATCTCGACTGAAACGAGGTTCAATCGTGATCGACTCAAGAGAGTTCTTGAAACTAGGTCCAGTCATACGAGAGGTCCCACAATCCCACGCGCGCGAGAAAATACAAGATGGCTGCGGAACACGTGTCGGGCTATCGACAGCGAAATAAAAAAGATATTGTATTTCGAGAAAC